ATCATTGACTGAGCCCTCACTTTACATACATTTACTCATTTAACCCTCAATTCAACATGGTAAGAAGGTGTTAGTGTGTCCATTTTACAGGTGAGGGAGCTGACGCTTAGTGGAGATAAGACATTTGCCTAAGAGCTCCCAGTGAAGTAGCTGAAGAGTTGCAGGGTTAGGACCCAGATCTATAAGCACCTGAAGCATCAGACAGTGTCTTCTAGGCTTTCTCCACGGGATGGAGATGCCAGGGGGTGGGGGCAGGAAGAAGCAGACAGAGGGGCGAGGACTAGAGCCATCTCACCCCTGTTCCTTCCCCAGCCGCCTAGAATGGAAAACTCGCTCTTCTGCACTAGTGGCCTGAGGCCAAAGAAACTTCATTCTGTTTACACTTTGCCGTGGTAGACGCTGGGGAGACAGATGGTCTCTCCATCTTAGTGTCGTATTTATTTTTAGCACTTTTGATCTGCAGCGCATTTTAAAGTTACTTATTACACTGGCTTCTGACAACAACTGGGTGAGGAATACAGGAATAAAGAAGATTTTATTATCCCCTTTTTACAGATAAGGAAGCTAAGGCTGAAAGCAGGGTCGTGTCGCCAGGTAGTGGTGGACAGGCTGAGAACCCATTTCCCCTGCCTAGTTTGCACCATGAAGCCCTTCCCCCACTGCCCCAGTCAGGCCCACCCATATGCTGACTCCACCCCCTGAAAGGGGCAGCTGCATCAGTGGTGTGTTGGATTCATCATGCCCCTATACCAGCTCTCTTCTTACCGCTGGACCACAAAAGCCTTACTTAAAGGCCTTGAAAGGGTCTCAGGCAGCCCAGGTGGGCCTGCCTTGCTCCTCTGCTAACAAATGGGCAGAGACCACCTGATTCTCCTAGCTTCCAACTCCCTCTGAGATTCTGGGAGAGATAAAGGGAGCAGGATGGCTTTCAGACGTCTAAGTTTAGAACATAAAGAGGGGAACAGAGAGAGGGGGTCATGCCAATGTCCATGGGTGTGGCTATGGGACAGGGGGCAGCTCCATTCTCCACTGCAGGGTTCCTGGCCAAGTTAAGCCATGGATGTTTCGAGGTGACCAACTAGACAGGAAATCTGACAAAAAAAGAAGAATGCCAGTAAGTAGCGTGGTGGAGGTGTGGAGTAATCCTTTAACCCGAAGAGACACACCCAAACTCACTCTCAGCCAAACCCAATTCCAGACTCCATACAAAACCAATTACCCTTAAACTTGTTCCTCGTGACTTGAAAAATCCACGTGGGCTTCCATCCAGCCCTGCCATGAACCTGAACATTGCACCAGCCCTGGGTGTTCGAACGTTAAATAAGTGAATTCATGAGCTAGATAGGGAGGAGGGCTAGCTCACTTTAAAATCAGAGTCTCTCTAGAGAATCTGCTCTTTCATAAATAAATCAATGAATACACTAATCCCCTGCCATTTGTAGAGTTTAAGCACTACGACATACCGTCATGCACATGGTCTCATTTGATCCTTACATAGACAAGGAGCCTGGGGTGGGGAGGCAGAGCCGGGATTCAAGCCCAGATCTCCAGTACTTGGAACTGAAATTCAAATTCGAAACTGTCTTAGGAAATGTTCTTAATGGGAGAGAGTGAATTTTGGGTTGGGCAAAGCAATTGCGGTTCCTCCACGGAGCAGCAGTGTTTTGAGAGCCAATGCTAGCGAACTGGGCTGCATGAGGTCCGGGATTGTCCGTGGTCAACAAGGGTTTAGTGACTGAGCAGTGAGCACACAGCCCAGCAGAAAGTTGGGAGATGTGCTCACAAACGCATAAGGAATTTAAAAATCACGCGTACTTATGACCCACCCTAAGGGAGCTTATGATTGGACAGAAGGTTTTGGAAGGCAGGCGCATAAAAAAGTGTGACTTTGGGCTTTGGGTAGAGGAAGAAGCTATGACTCCCCTTGGAGTTCGTGGACCTCCAGTCTTTCACTCAGATTCTGGTTTCAGGGACTCAGGATGTCACAGTGCATTACCAAAGCTATGCTGTTAGGACTTCCCTCCGGACAGTTAAGCTCCAGCAGGAAGAGGCGTTGCCAGATGAGAAAAGCCTTAGAAACGAAAGCTGTTTCCTCAAGAAAGAAGCATGGGCAGACACAAACACACAGAATGGTTTAGCCACAGGCTAAGAGAAAGGCAGTGAACCGATCAACTTTCTCCATGGAAAAGGCCCAAGGAGCTCTTCCTCCTGAACCGCCCATCCACTCTGGGAGGAGCTTGGCCGGCCTCCAGAGGCTTGGAATGTGAAAGAATCAGAAGGACCAATGGGCAGATGAGAGAAGTTCCCAAAGGGTCTGGGAGGGCGATGGGAATGAGGAAGGCTTATGTTCACTGTGAATAGAAGGCGCAGAAGGCTGGCGTGCCAAGTGGAGCTGTGGCTGAACTATGATCCTGTCATCCCTGACCACAGGGACCAGGGCTGCCCAGGCCCGGAGCTACTGAAAATGCCCCTAGCGAAGACCAGCCACCTGAGTCACTGTACCTCACAGAGTGGGCTTCTGCTAGAAGCTTTAGACAAGCTTTACCTGCTTAACTTGGAGTCAAGTAACTGGCAGATGCTTTTAGCGACGAAGCCATGCCGGTGCTGGGAGCCTCCGTGGGGCAGGGCTTCTCACAGCATGAGAGATGGCTTGCTAATTTTTAGGCTTCTGGGTAATAAAAAAAATAAAGAAATGCCAAAACAAAACAAAACAATTCAGGGTCACAAAAATTGGGGCATTTAAAAATGTTTGGTTTTAGCATACTAATGTTTTAACTACCCCCTTAAAAGTTATACAAAATGGTGGTGTGATTTTCAAGAAAATTACAGGGACTTATAAAATATGAATTCGTAGTTCACCAATTACAAGTGGTGTGGGGCCTGGCCACAAGACTCCAAGTATGGGTTTACAATGAATGCCTCTCTTTCCCGTCTTGTTAACGTACCCCCAAGACTGTTACAGCCTCAACCAAAGCTAAAGCCAAGAATCTAACTGCAGGGTCCTTTGTGATAGGAAGCCCAGGGAAACTGACCCTCCTGACCCCCTTGGAAAGGCAAGCCTGGGAACAGACTACCTTAGAGGGAGGTGGAGAAGCAATAGAGGCTGCAGGCAGCGCCTTCCCGCTTTCTCATCTGTCTGTCTGTCTGCCCTCCTTCCCTCCTTCCTTCCCATACTCAGTTCACACACACACAGAGCACATGTGAACATGAGTTTGCTTATGTGTATGGTACAGGAGAAGAGTGTGTGTGTGTGTGTGTGTGTGTGTGTGTGTGTGTGTGTGTGTGTGTGTGTAAGGTGTGGGAGACACCCTCTGCCCCTCTAGGGTTGAGCTCTGTCCTCTCTCCTGTTTCTTATCACATTCAGTTCCTCCTGAGCATCTGGTCCAGGATAAGCAGCTGGTGAGGGGCTTCGGTCATCTTCCTTTGAGCAAAGCCAGCAAGAAGCCAGCACTGGGTTACTCACGCAAAGGGGAGTCTAAGCTGATGTGAACTCAGAGGAAAGAGAGTGGGAAGCCTGGGACAGAGGCAGTGATCACAGGGTCCAGATGCAGTGGGGATGCCCACTCTATCTCAGAGAACCCCAAGAAGTCTGCATCTCCAGCATGTCCCTGACCCTAGGAGGGGGCAGGGTGGACCACCATAGTTGTGAAGAAGCAGCAAGGGGGGACCAGTAGAAGCAATGTGGGAATGGGGACCCTGCCTGGAGACCTGAAGGAGTGTCATAGGATGATGGCCCTGGGGAGGAGATGGTACATGGAACCCCCTCCCTGGGTCCTTCCCTGCCAAGCCAGGGAGAAAGCCTGTGGGAGCTGTCACTTTGTGCCTGCTGCCCTGAGTCTATTGCTATTTCCCCAGCTTAATTTGACTCTAACCACATGACCCTATCTGAGGGGTTATCAGGGACAATGGGAAGGGTGACCCAAAACATCCTGCAGCAACCCCTTCCGCTATGTCACTGAGGTTAGCAGGAAATTCTTGATACCTCAACACCATCAACTCCAGTGGATGTGGGAGCAGCAATACCGGGTCACAAGAAATGCAAGTGGTTTCCTGGCGGCTTTCAAGCCCTTCCCTGTTTACTTTCCCAGAAACCTCCACATCTGGGGAGAATTCTTGGTGTGTGTCTCCTGCTTGCAAAGACCAGCAATCTCTGAGCTGAGCGCAGGGGGCGAAGGGTGAGCAGAGAGGACACAAGAGTGTCTACAGCACTTTCCTTCCTTTTCAAAATCTCTACGAGCCCTTCTGGAAGTCAGGAGATCTGGGCTTTCGTCCTGGCTCTCCTGTTAAATAACTTCTTGGCTTTGGCAAGTCGCTTCTTTCCTCCAGTCCTCAATTCTTACTATAAACAGCAGAGTCTGGACTTGATTGGTAGATTTCAAACCATTTTTATCAATGCACCTTGTTGTTGTTTTTTTCTCCTAATGAATGCTTTGGTCAAACCTCAATATACACAACAGGTTAAAAGAAAAAGCAGAGCTGCTCAGGTTGGCACAGGAGTGAGTTGGGGGTGCCCCAGGGCCATCCCCTTGGTCTCTCTTCCTCAGGGGGCTCCACAGAAATGGGGGAACAGTTTGAAAACACTGAGCTGTGGAATCTCTAGGGACCAGAGATTCCAGATGTAACAGCCCAGAACTCTATGGCTCATGTATCCTAACATCCCTCTTATTAGGACAGGGATGATTTTCTCATGCTGCAAATGGGATGGTCTAGAGAGGTTAATGGTCTTCTCCAGGAAGCCCCGAGACTCCTGATTCACGGCCCACTGTGCTTTCTACTAGGATGGCTCCTGCTCTCCAGAGCAGGCAGAACACATTGAGTGGCTAGGCCTCTGGGCAGGGGATCAAGATCCTTAAGCCCTTGTTACTTTCTCACTGGCTGGATACAGGCAAACAAGGAAATGCTTCCACAGGCCCCTCCCACCGCTCCCCTGGAACGGGTCCTGGCCAGCTTTAGTTGCAAAGACATGGCCTCTAATGACCTCCCGTGTCTCCTCCCCGTAGGTACATCGCCTGGATCATGAGGTCATCCCTCTGCTGGCTCCTCCCATTTCTCCTCATGTTGGCCTCAGTGGCCCAAGGCCAGCCAACAAGACGACCAAGAATCAGGCCCAGGCCCAAGCCCAGACCCGGCTTTCCTCAGCCCCATGAGCCATCGGAGCCTACAGACCTGCCTCCTCCCCTCCCACCGGGTCCTCCATCTATCTTTCCTGACTGTCCCCGGGAATGCTATTGCCCCCATGACTTCCCGTCTGCCCTCTACTGTGATAGTCGCAACCTTAGAAAGGTCCCTGTCATCCCACCCCGCATCCATTACCTCTATCTCCAGAACAACTTCATAACTGAGCTCCCGGTGGAGTCCTTCAAGAATGCCTCAGACCTCAGGTGGATCAACCTGGACAACAACCGAATTCACAAGGTAGACCAGAAGGTGCTGGAGAAGCTACCCAGTCTGGCATTCCTCTACATGGAGAAGAACCAGCTGCAAGAGGTTCCCTCGGCCCTGCCCCGGAACCTGGAGCAGCTGAGACTGAGCCAGAACAGTATCTCTAGGATCCCGCCTGGCGTCTTCAGCAAGCTGGAGAACCTACTGCTCCTGGACCTCCAGCACAACAAGCTGACTGACGTCGTCTTTAAGCCAGACACCTTCCAGGGTCTCAAGAAACTCATGCAACTCAACCTGGCCCACAACACCCTAAAAAAGATGCCACGCAAGGTCCCCACAGCCATTCACCAGCTCTACCTGGACAGCAACAAGATCGATACAATCCCTGATGGGTACTTCAAGGCCTTCCCCAACCTTGCCTTCATTCGCCTTAACTATAACAAGCTGTCCGACAGGGGGCTCCCCAAGAACTCCTTTAACATCTCCAACCTGCTTGTGCTCCACCTGTCACACAACAAGATCAGCAATGTACCTGCCATCAACAACAAGCTGGAGCACCTATACCTCAACAACAACATCATCGAGAGTGAGTGGGACAGGCAGGGCTGGGGCACAGGGAGGGAGGCTGGGGACTCACCACCTCAGCCCTTTCTCAGGGGGCCTCAGGGCAGGATGGTGCAAAAAGCGCCCTATGTGGCACTGGACCTCAAATCTTGGCCTTACCACTTGCTATCTGTATGACCTTGAACAGGTATTTGACCTTTCTGGGAAGTTCCCTCATCTGTAAAGTGAGAATGGTCATAATACCTCTGTCACAGAGTTGACATGAAGATTTAGTCATTTAACATGGATATAGTGCCCAGAATACCATGCTTCAAGGGTACTGGCTTCTCTTCCTGCGTCCTTTCTCATCAGCCCCAGCTTCTCTGCCCTCCAGATCTGTAGCTAGGGTACATATAGAATACAGCCCCATTCTGCATTCAGGAAATGCCCATTCTGAAATGTGCTGAGCCCGTCTGTTGCAGAAGCTGGCAGCTGTGAGAGGCTCAGTTTCGAGCCTAGATTTCCAAGCCCAAGGATGAGAGGAAGATTGTTGAGTTTTTACAACCTTGAAACAAATGGTGGGGAGAACAGGCTTGTTTACTCGTCTGGGATAATTACACGAAATGGGAGAGGGTTTTTTTAAATCTGACAAGAAACAAACTCAGAGAAAGGGAAAACTCTCTAATTTTACCCTGCAAGGAATAAACTGAGGGAACATATTATCCCCAGGAAGCAGTATAGGCTGAAAATATAGACAGAAAGAATACCTAATACATGGCTGATGGGCCTGTACCAGTTGTGGAAGAACAGGCAGCTGGGGGACAGCCAGCCTCCTGTGGGTGACATCAGAAAAATCACACCCATTCTCATATGTCACAGGTCTGGGAACTGAGCCTCAGAGTGGTCAGGTGACAGTCTAAAGTCACAAAGGCCATAAGGCGAATTCCCTCTATGTCAGGGCTCTGTCTGCTACTCCAAAGGCGAAGCGAGAAATAGAACATCAACGACCTCGCAGATGATTAATGAAGCAAGGCTTAAGGAGAATAAAAATTCATTTAGAAGATGACACATCTGATGTCATCTGACAAAAGGTGAAGGAGAAAATGGAATCTCATCTTCATTTGAAAGCCTACCACAATTTGTCCACAACTTACCCTTCTGGCTTACTTTCTCTAAAACCAGTAATCATTTCAGAATCAATAGGCTGAGAATGTCCCAAGGGCCCTGTGCCCTCCCCAGACTGCCTTCCCTCTTCCTGTCATCCCTGCTTCAGTTAATGTGACTATCTTCTGTCCATCTGCGTGCCTCACACCCAGGTCACAGGAAATTCTCACATCCACCTGCTGGCTTCAGATCTTGCCTCACCCCACTATTTCTCCACATTGTGGCTAGATTCATCTTTCTATAGTATACACCTCATCATAGGCCCCCCTCCAGATTTTACACCCCGGGATGCTACTATGGTTCATATATCTTACCATCCTGCTCAATGCCATTCCTCAGACTGAAGATCAAGTCCCAATCCTTAGTGAAATCTTTGAAAGCCAACCATAATTTTTTACCACAACTTAGCTTTCCAGCTCACTCTCCCTAGTCCATCACGTTGTGCTGTTTACTACTCCCAGATTTTGCCATGACCTTTTTGACCGCCACAACTTCATTCAGATAGGTCTGTCTATCAGAACCCCATCCCCCAGGTATCCCACTGCTATAACGCTACCTAACTTTGAAGGTCCAACTCAAAGCTTACTTCCTCCGTTACTCTTCAGAGTGAAATTCAAATAACAATTGTAGACCAATTCCAGCTTAGTTTTACAAATGAGTAAACTGGGCCTAGAGGTTAGGGTCAACTCATCCATGGTCACAAATTCCCCAAGTTAGCCAGTTCCAGAAAGGAAAACTCTAGAGTCCTTACTATCAGTTGTCTGCCCTCTCCTTCCTTACCTGTGCCTGCAGCCCCATCTGTCTTGACCCTGCCCTCCTCTCCTGCTCACCTCTCCACCTTCTTTCTCCATAGAGATCAACGGAACTCAGATTTGCCCCAACAACCTCATCGCCTTCCACGACTTCTCCTCGGATCTGGAGCACGTGCCCCGTCTCCGTTACCTGCGGCTGGATGGGAACTACCTGAAGCCACCCATCCCACTGGACCTCATGATGTGTTTCCGTCTTCTGCAGTCTGTGGTCATCTAGGCCTTGCTCTTCCCTGGGTCTCCTCTGATGGCACTTGAATGCTGGTGGCCCAGGCGCCTGTGCTCACCATTCATTTTCTCTGTCTCCCTGTCTTGCTCCCAAATTTGCCTTTCTTATCCCACCTTCCTGAGGCGGGACAAGGCACACACTCTGCTGCACCTGTGGCTTCTAGAGCTCTCGAGATGTCCCAGGCCTCATTTGGGTCCACCCAGCTCAAAGACACCCACTGCACACCCAAACTTCTGGCCCCAGAAGCACCGATGCCTGTCTGAATACTTCACAGTCCCTTCTCTCTCCTTCTCCCCCTGTCACTCCTGGGTAAGTCTAGGCCTGAACTGACATCTGGATCGCAGCCCTGGTGAAGCAAGAAAATGGTCAGGGGTGGTCCAGAGGTGAGGCTGGGGAAGTTCTGTAGGAGACTTCTCCTTCATGGGCAGCGTTGGCTCCAAAAAGCCAAGAAACCCAGGCCTCCTTGGCCAAGGATCCATCTTCCAAAACTGCTGTTCTACCACCCATTTGCTGGGACCAGACATCACATTGGCTCTCTGCCAGCCTGTGTTCTCCAGAAAGGAAGTGCAAGGGCATGGCCAAGCGAGGGCAGAGGGTCACAGTTCCCGCAAGGGCCTGCACAGGGAGGAGCTGGGGCCCTCCTGCTCCAGGGTGAACTCGGCACATGCCCTCCAACAGGGCCTCTCTGTTATAAGAGGAAGAGCGGGAAGGAACATTCCAAGAGACGGATGGCTCAGGAACTAGGAATCAGTCAGTGGGAGAGGAGTGGGAGTCAGAGCCTCAGGATGGGCGTGTGTGGGTGCAGATGGATCCTGTAGCCCCATTGGCTACTCTGGACAAGAGGCCGGGTGACTGAGGAACACGGTGTCCACAGTGGAGGGTGCAGAACCACCAGCCCCACCCCACCATCTGTTCTCTATCAGTGTGGATGGCTCAATCCTTTCCACCCCTAGAGCGGTCCCTGAGAAACCAGCAAGAAAGGGCGGGACATCTGGAAATCTCCCAGAAGCCTCTTCCATATGTGCAACTTGGCCTGCCCTCTAAGATAGACACATTAGTGACACCTGGTGGCTGGTGCCCGTCACAGCGGGCTCCCATCTTCATCCTCACCTCCCTCTGGGCTAATTTTCCAAGGTCACGGATTTCCCACTTGAAGAGCCAAGGGTTATGTGCGTGGTCTCTCTCTCCTCTAGGGTCTATAGGACACAGAGGTGCAGAGGCCCTGAGGCAGGGGGCTTATTCCCATCACGGGTGAGCACGGGTGAGAACCTTCGGGAACCCCGGTGAGGGTGCGGTTTGTTCCAGTTTGCTGACTGACCTTGTTATCCCTTCTGTTCTCAGGTCCCACATCTGTTAACCCCTCTGAGGCCCCTCCGGCACTTACGTTCCACTCTGCAGCTCCTCCCTTTAGACCTTGCTCTAATGCAGGACAAGCTCTAAATATTATCCCCTTCCCTGGCAGTAATTTATTCCTGTATGGACCGTCCCTCCCCCACAGTTCCCACCCTCCCTACCTGGCCCAGGTGCAGCTTGGCAGGCTTCCAAAGGAGCCTGGGCCCCAGGGGCTGACTACCCTTTTCCTGAACAGCCTCTAGGGGGGTGCTGTCCCTCTACAGCCCCCAGAGTGTCTCTATGTTGATGGGGGTGGGGGATGTTCTAAAAATGAGCAGGACACAGTGCCCACCCTCAAGATAGGTTGAGAAAAGTTCCAGAGATTTTTAAGAAATTGTATTAAGCTACTCCGTTAACTTCAAAAAGTTCCCACTGTACTCTTTCTCATCCTTCTCTGTTGCCAATTTACAGAAAATGGGGCTCATTTTATCCTAACCTCCTTCCACATGCTCCCATAAACTGCCTCATTCTTCCCGGCTGCAGCTGTTTTTTTCCAAGGCTCCTGCTTAAAGTCAACAAAGTATTGTGGTTGTAAGCAACCTGGTGCTCTGGCCTGGATAAGCCCCCTCCTGCATCTTTATTCACACCTTTGGACCTCAGCCCCTCGTATGAGGATCCTGTGGTTGCCAGGGAGGAGGGGTCATTCCCCTGCTCCTGCAACCCCAAACTAGTTTATTTCAGCAGCAACACAATCACCATCATCCCATCACCCCATCTAAATGTCTGCTCCCTCCATCGCTCCCTGCAGCTATAGACCAGAGAGGATTCAAATTAAACTGGCTTTAAAGCATCCTCACCCCCCCCCTACACACACACACACAATGTGCTGATTTCTCTTGGGTTTTAGGAAGCCCCCTCCTCCATGCACAAGTTCACCTCTCAGTGCTATTGGCATCTACATATACAGGTGTGTAAGTAGGTGTGTCTGTGTACTCTGTTCATATAACTATTCTTCTGGAAAACCATGTTACCTTTGTGAAACAGCTTTCACATTTCAACACGCTTCGCAGCAGAGAAAATAAAGTAATATGAAAAACATCCTGCTTGACCTTGACAATGTAAACAGTTCAAGCAAGAATAAGACCTTAAAGTTATCTTGCCGCCCTTCTCCACCTGCTTTCTTTCTCTCACTTGCTCTGAGAATATGGGTGGAGATAGGGTCCCAATCTTAAGAAACTCTAAGAAAACAATTCCAAAGCCTTTTCATGGTAAATTTCCCCCAAATTCACAGTTCTCATGAAAAATTATTCCTAAAGTCAGGCCAGAAATCTGATAGCGACATTTGAAGCCCAAAGCCCCAGGTCTTTCAGCTCACACATAGCAAATTGTTGAGGGTCTCCAAATGCTCAGTACTGAGCCAGATATGGAAAGACACAAAACAGACACCATTCCTGACCAAGTGAAGCTTACAGACTAGTGAAGAGATGCAGTGTAAGAAACACAAAGCAGTGGCAGAGCTGTATCAAAGATGAGAACAAAGGGCCATCTCACCTGGGAGGGTCTACAGGCTGTGCAGATGTTCACAGAAGGGTGAGAACGGGATGCTCTGGAATCTCTCTTCAGATGGAAGATTCTAGAAGTGGGCTTGTGATCCTCCCAGCCTACACCATCTTTAGATAAAAACTATCAGATGCTGCCCTGCCCCCGCTTCTCACCCTGCCTCCTGAATAGCTACTTCAGTTCAACTCATCAAGTTTTCAGTGGACATCAACTATGTGCAAGGTTCCCAGCTAAGAATTCAAAGATACATAACATATACCCCAGGCCTTTTAGGAATTCACAACTTGGTACAGGGAAAAATCTATGAATTAATAATTGTGTGCCTTAAGTGTTTGTAATAATGCTGTGTACAAAGGGTGTGGTGCGGGGGACCTCTGCCTCTGCCGGAGAAAAGCCAGAAGGGCTCTTGTCACTGGGACAGGACCTTAAGGGATAAATCAGACTTTGCCAGATGCGAGAAGCGGGGAAAGGACCTAAGTGCGAGGGAAAGCAGCATGAGCAGAAAGGTAGGAAGCTTTGGTGTACCTTGTCGGGTGTGTGTGTGTGTGTGTGTGTGTGTGTGTGTGTGTGAGAGAGAGAGAGAGAGAGAGAGAGAGAGAGAGAGAGAGAGAGAGAGAGAGAGAAAGAAAGAAAGGAGAGGGAAGGTTCCACCATCAGGTTACGTGGCTACAAGTCCATATACAGCAGGGAATATGTCCCTGTTGTCCAAAAAGCAGGAGAGTTCCTGAAATTTCCACACAGCCTCAAGGGACAACGACAAGGTCAGCTGGCTGGACTTGAGTCTCTGCCACCTGCCACCTCCATTCCATCAACATTCCTTGTGCTTCACCTAATAAGGACCTTGGATTAGAAGGGCTCCGGACACCTCCAACCCCCAACCCTCTTCCTGGGCTCTAGGGAGCTAAGTGGCCTGGAGCAGCATGACAAATGGTCCTCGCAGAGGTCACACATACACATCACACGGACCTTCCCTAAAATCCATAGAACCAGAGCGTGTGACAGGTGAGCTTATTAAGACAGAGCCCAGGCTGGGAGAGGGTCTAGGATGTGAGGCCAGTTTCTAAAAGATTCCTCGCTGGTGGGGTGTGGGGTGGTGGTGGGAAGTGGGGGGGAGGGGAGTCTGTGCATGCGCAGTGAGGCTGCCTGTGCGCTGCGGGTGAACCAATTGCAGGGCAGGGAGCATGGGGACAGAGAGTGGAGGAGTGTGTCACCAGAAAGGAGGGAGAGAGAGTGGGCGCAGGAGGCAGGCGGAATGAATGAACAGTCGAATCTGCATTCCTCCCAGGGCATAAATGGTGCGGGTGGGAGGAGGAGAGGCCCTGGGTGACTGCAGGGTGGAGGGCCTCTGGCTAGAGAGAGAAAAGGAAGAAGGACAGCAGCCAAATATGCCATCTGCTTACAGGGCACCGTCCTGGCTCCAGGGATCTCTCTCCCTCCACCCAGCAGAGCCCCTATTAGTATCTCTCCCCAGATGGGGGTCTGCCAGGAGCACAGGAACATATGTTGCCCTGGTGACCAGGTTCTTGGCCTGGTGGAAGCCTCCTGCACAACAGCTGGTACCCAGGAATGCTGCAGGCCAAGCACTGCCCTTTGGGTCAGGCTATTAGATCTGCCCCTTCACCTGGTGTGTGGGGGCAGAGATGAGCTCTGCCAAGGCCGTCTGTTATCTGGCACCAAGACACATGGTCTCAGGACCCCCAGGAATGGGGGGGGCAGTGGGGAGAAGAGGATCATATGATCAAAGGAGAACTCTCTGGCCTGAGAGTCAGGAAATCTAGGAGGTGGCCTTGGCTCTGTGTGACTTCGGGTAAGTCACCTCACCTCACTGGGCCTGGTTTCCCCATCTGTACAATAAGGGGCTTGGACTAGATGATTTTTAGGGGGCCTTGCCTCCTCCAATGTCTGGCTTCCAGTGATTCTTGGGAATTCTCGAGTGTCTGGTCAGAGGGAGGGAGTAGGGAGGAGCATTACTGAAAAGCCCGGCAGACATGCAGGCTGGCAGAATCCTGGGGAGACACAGCTTCTCCTCACCCCGCTCCCCACCTTCAGCAAGGCCTGCCCTGCAAAGCCTGTGGCACCAGCAAAGCAGAGTCTCTCCCCATAAATACATCTTGGAGGGGGGGCAGGTTTCTTCTCAGCCCCTTGAGAATCCCACACAATGCTTCCTGGAGTTTGTGATCGGAAGTCCTCTCTAGGGCTCAACCTCAGGAGAGAATGTCTTGTATCCATCTCACCATCATCACTGGAGAACTTGAAGTTGGTTTTCAAATTCTACCCCATCCCCATTCACCTTCTCTTTGAATTGCTTGGCCTTCAGACCCTCCTGCTGGTGATTTCTGTTCAGTTATTAGGGATCCAGGTGGTGGGTGGTGGTCGGGGTGCCTCCACTCTCAGCTGCTTTTAATCTTTGGGTTCCATCTACGAAGCCAAAGCCTCGTCACTCTGGCTGGAGAAAAAAGCTGGGAAGGCAAGCCCTCCACACACCCCACTGCTTCCTTCTCTGAGAGTAGTACAGAATCTGAGGGGTGGCGCTCCCCTCAGGGGGTGTACTGCCTACTTCCTCAAAGGGGATGGGCTGGAAAAAGAGGGGGGTGGCAGACAAAGAGAGGGAGAGATGAGGCTGGGGGGTGGGGAGGGGTATGAGTAGGGGGTGGGAGTGGAGGGGGTGCAGGGAGAGACAATCCCCTGGCACCAAGCAAAGGAATGGGATGGGGGACCCACTGAGGAAGAGGGAGGGAAACAGCTGGACGTCGGGAAGAAGAGAAGGCTGACTGGCCACACGCCTGCCTTGGCCAGCTCCCTGCCCTCCCCAGGCAGCTGTCCATCCAGGCCCCTTGCATACGACCTTTTCATCAGAGTCCAAACCTCTCTGGATGCTGTGAGGCTCCTTGGGAACCAGAAGTGTATACAAAAGTGTAGGGATCCAGATGTGAACCTGTTGTAGGCCCGTGGGCATGCAAATGGAGAAAGAGGGATGCGTGGGAGGAAGAAGAGAGTGTAGGCCTCCGGACCAGACATGGGAGGAGGAGGATGGTCAGCCATGTCTTGGGACTTTTCTTAAAGATTTTGTTTTTTTGAATTATATAATGTGGTTTGGAGTCAGGTATGGGAGTAAGATGGAGACACCTCTTGCTACTCCTGGGGGCTTACTCCCTTGCCCCACTACAATTAAGAAAGGGGGAGAATCTACTAGAAACTCATGCAGCTGGCTTTGAGGAGAGCTGCATGATCAGAAATACACTGGGTACTTCAACCCACACAGCGCACATTCCTTGATCTCTCTGTCCATAAGTGGATGAACTTACACAAACATTCGTACACAGTGCACATCACACACGTACATGATCACCTGTACACACACACACACACACACACACACACACACAGATGTACACGTGTATCTAAGGAACTTTCCGGGTGTGTAGACACTCCTACAACCACACACAAAAAGGCCTTTTGTGTCTGTAATCATTTGTTTCTAAAGAGCTGCATTTATATTTTATATACTAACATTCCTTTTTAGATTGTATGTCAATCTGTAAAACCAGGTCCCCTAAACAGACCAGATGTTCCTGAAACTAGGCTTGTCTTATTCATTTTTATTCCCCCGGGGCCTGGAACGTAATCGATACCCCATAAGTGTTTGTTGAGCAAATGCATGAATGAAAAATATTTTTGAAAACCACAAGACTCCTCAATGTTAGAGTTTCTCTAAATCTAGTTCAGTGACTAATGGCGTAAGAGAGAATATCCGTATAATGCATGAGTGTGTGCCCAACTTAGAAAGGTGTGTCATCAAGGGGACATGTGTATATCCCTGTGGAGATGAGAGCTGTGTTGTCAAGGGGACATGCGGTTGTCTGTTTTGAGATGAAACTGTATAGACAACAGGACATGCATGTGTTCTTGTGGAGGTGAGTAAATGAGACTGTGTGCGCGTGTGCCTGTGTGAGGATCAGGGTGTGGGTAAGCATGTAGGAGTGGAGTGGAGGTGAGGGGGCCGGAAGGAGACACCTACTAAACATAGCTCCGGCCTGTAAGGGACTCGCACATGTCATGAAGGCGCTGAGTGTGATGAAGCTATACGAGCAAGGCTCTGCAAGTGGCAGGGCGGGAAGTGCACTGACTTTGTGAGCCATTCCCACAAAGCTCAAGAGATCCTCGTTGCTCAGATGGCTGCCCTTTCTTCTACTAACTTTCCAGGACTGGATGCCTCGTGATTCCACTCCATTGCTATCCCATCCCCACCCCCCAGGACCCCATGAATCTTCCAGCTTCCCTGAGCCTGCTGGCCCTGGCGCTGCAGGAGGCGGGGCCAACTTCTCTCCCAAAGAAGGAAAAGGAGAGGAGCAAGGAGCAGCTGCACAGGGAAGGCCATTCTGACTCAGTTCCGCATCCGGGAAATTATGCCCTGAGTGTGGACAACTACGATGAGGCCATTGACCTGAGCAACTGCGAGGAGCTCACAGGCTGTGGGGACCAGGTCCCAGAGGTGAGCACACACAGCAGCACAGTGGCTGCATTCCTGCAAGAGGCTGTGCAGGGGCCTGATCTCTCTCATACTCGGCAGTGCAAGTGTCTCAAACCCCCCATCTCTTTCTCTAGAAGGTTGAAACTCTTGTCCCTCCATAAGAACTTGTCACTCAGATAATACTAAGAAACAGGACAACAAATCTTCGATTTCTTTGTCCATTTGTAGCAAAGTTGGTGGGATTTCCCTTAGAAGTCATACATCCCTCCCCCTGCCTTCAAGTAATAGCCTAAGCCATATCTCACTGGGACATCAGCGATATCCTCATATTCTCCCTAGAAAAAGAAACACAACCCTCTTCAGCCTGAAGCTCTTTCTCAGCCCCTCCTGGCTTTTACGAGGGCTGATCTGAAGTCTGCACTTGCTTGACGTGTGGCTTAGTCAATGCAGGGCAAGGCGAAGAGCTCGAAGAGGAAAAGCTGGACCTGCGGATACTAGCTCTGCCCCCAGCTTGACCACCAGCTGGCTCCGTGGTCCCAGCCCGTCCCATCTCTGGGCCTCAGTTTCCTTATCTATGAAATTAAATTGTTGGACCAGATGCTCTCTGAGAAGGTCCCTTCCTTACTCACTCCTTTCCTTAAAGATTTTAGATGGCAGAAATGACCTGTTTTCATTTGTTCTCCCAAAAGCTGGGAAGCTGGAAAGGGGGAGATACGAGGAAGCCTACATTTTCAGGATGTCCCAACAACTGTAGCTCTCTGGCCTCTAGACAAGACCGTGCTAAATCTACTCTGCATGGCACCGGTGCTGTTTACATGGTTATTTGTTGTTTGTTTGTTTGTTCTGCTTCTTCATGTCTTATACCCTGCCTAAGATAGAAGATCTTAGATTCCAATCCAGATTCTAGCACTAGTTACCACAGCTTCCTGGGCCTCAGTGTCCTTTTGTGTAAATTAGTGGTGGAGGATGGAGGTGGGATAGATCCAGAGATTGACTCCTGGCCTGTTGTGTCTTGCCCTCGAAAGGTCTCTGCCAAAGTGATCCAAGGTGGACAGCCACCACACAGAACAGAACTTCGGGGGAAGGTGTCACAGAATCTGAGGGCTTTTCCGGGGAGTCCTGGTTTATAACATTATTTCTTCTGGTGTGGACGTGGTGCAGGTGGGGGACTGGCTGGTACTCCTGATCTTGAGAGGAGGGGAGCAGGGTATGGCAGCTCCCACAAGGACAGGAAAAGATGGTGTGTCCTGTGTCTCTCTGTTCTCCCTCACACCACTCAGTGAACCTGAAAAGGACTGACCTCTCCAGAAACTTTGTCTCCTCCATCAATGATGACGCCCTCCACCTGCCGCCTGCTCTGCAGGACCTGATCCTCCCAGGGAGCCAGATGACAGCTCTGCCCAGGCTGCCTATGGGCATCGAAGTCCTGGACATCCGCCTCAATCAGCTTCAGAGCTCGGGAATGCAGCCTGGGGCCTTCAGGGTGAGCCAGGGCCTTCGGTCCACCATCAACCACCTGCCACCCATGCCCACAACGACACACACACACACACCTTGCTTTCATGGCGTATCCCTGCTCCCACCCTGTTCTGGGATCTGAAAACCAAACCCATTTTTAAAATTTGTTTTATTAAAGGTTCTTTCTGTTGCAAGAACCTGATCTGACTCAGGAAAAGAGTGTTTACAACATGCCATCCCAAGAACCTCCATGAGAGGAAACTCAGGCCTCTTGGGCCTGTTACTGGAAATGCGGGGTGGACAGTGTCAGAAACCAAGGTGACTCTCTGTCTCCGTCTTGGGGACACACGGTCTCTTGGCTTCCTTCTGTGTATCTGTTCTGTTTACCTCTCTGCACACCAGCATCCTTGGCACACACAGCTTCTGCTCCCCTGAAACTGGCTTACACATGACTTGCAGTAGTGCTGGCTTCCACCCTAACTCTACAACTCCTTTTATTTTCAAATTCCACCACTAACTGACTAATTACTGTTTTTCTATGATCAAATTGTTAAGAGAGACCATCTGCATGGACACTGGCTGGCCAGTTTTGATAAGGAGGGCTAACGTAGGGCACTACTGTGACCCCTTGCAGCTGCCCACTTCACAAGGCTAGGAAGATTCCGGGGGGTTAGTTCCTGTGAATAAATGAAGAGGGGTGCAGACAACATTGACACCCAACTCTGTCACATGTGCTTACTCAGTTTGCCTCAGGTGTGCCTGTAGCTCTCATTCTGCTGGTCTGGATATTTTCTGAATGTGTTCTCCACAGCTGCTCCAGGTTTAGCATTTGGAGATTATTCACTTGGGAAAATCCCTTCTGAGAGCAGAGGTTGAGGCTGGGCTGAGATGTCCCCTTGTCTTTCCTCTCTCCTCCTCTCCCACTCCTCCCCACCTGTCATAGCACCTGACAGCTCCTGCACACGCCCCCAATGGCAGCAGCTTTCCTTCTGCACCCAGTGGGAGCAAGCACTGTGAGCTCCTAAGATATTGGGCACATCCTGCTGCACCCATCACGGACCTGGCACACGGCTGAGGCTCAGGAGGCCCTAAGTGAATGAACGGGGTCACATCAGGCACCCCTGTCTGCCAGGGCCCACCAGCCCCCCACCCCCCAGGCTTTGGAGAAGCCGCAGTTCCTCTATCTAGACGACAACCTGATGAATTCCATGCCTGGGTCCTGCCCCTGAGCCTGCACTCGCTACACCTGCAGATGAGCGGCCTTCCCCAAGAGCATCGCACAGAGCGCAGAGGCTGGAGGTCAGAGGCAGGGAACATTCTTAGGCAGCAGTGGGGTCTTCTCAACTGAGACCTTATTAGAGACACAGAGGGGTCCACAGCCTCAGTTTGATTTCCTCCCTTCTTTTGAAAATACTTCCTCTCCTTCCACATCCTTTTCCCATCTCACCCAGCTGCCTGTTCCTTTGCCCCTTTCCCTTACCCACTGTCTCTTCTTCTTCTCTTCATCCCTCTGTCTCCATCCACCCTCCATGGGTCTCCTCTCCTCACCCTTTGTTGGGTGGTCTTGACCTTGGGTACCTTGATTTCTCCAGTTGTAAAGGGGAGTAGAGCTGGTGTACATAGCTAATTCAGCCTTCAGTGCAGCTGTCAGTGTGCTCTTTCCAGAACAATATGATAGAGACCATGCACAGAGACACCTTTTGTGCCACCAAGAAGCACAAGCACACACAGAGGGGACTGGAAGACATCCGCCTGGACAGCAAGCCCATCAACCTGGGCCTCTTACCCAGCACTATCTCCTGCCTGCCAGGGCCCCCCACAGGCCGCTTCTCCTAGCTCACCCCTTCCTATTCTCCCAGGTTAGAACCCTCAGAAGTCCACCAAAGGCACAGCGTCTGGAGCCATAGGGCCCAGCCCCCACCTCCATGAGGGACCTCCATGACACCTTTTTTCTAGGTGTCAATCAGCCTCATGATCTTGTTGCAGAAACCACCGACCCCTATCCCCCCAACACACACACTCCAAAATGTACTTTGAAAGCCAAATTTGCATTTTTTCATCCTCTTTCCTTAACACCTTATGGTTCCTGGTTCAGAGAATAGCAGTGTCTGTAGCAAAGCTCTTTCCCATATTCCCCATCCCTCCTGCCTGCACAGAATGCCAGGGAAGTCACAGGAGAGGAAGAGGAGGAGGAAGAGAAGGAGGACAGGGGAGAAGCAGTGGTATGCTGGAGCCAGCCCTGACTACGAGGCTTAGAGAACCAATTATTAAAATTTCCAGAATTTTACAAGCCAATTATTAAACACAGCCATTATTTTAAAAATAAATATATTCAGTTAAATATATTATGTTGAAAACAAATGTAATAAATATTCAAAGTCACCATTTCCCAATTAGTTTACTATTAACCGTGTTCTTGAACTGATGTATGCCCATGGGGTCTGTAGGGTGGAAATGCTACAGAATGACGTGCTACCGCTGCTTATCTCAGCCCCGCTCTGCTTGCAGCGACATCACATGGGTAGTTTGAAATGGGCCATGGTGGAAATATTTATACCGTGGAAATCAGTAAATGCTACACATTGGGGTTTTTTGGGGATTTTTTTTAAAAAAGAGCTGGTTGTTAAGCATTTGGCCAGCACTCCACTGAAGAGAAAGAATAGCTATTTAAATTAGCCCTTTCCCTAGCCCCAGACACACACACACACCCCCTACTGGGGGAAGGATGAGGTTTCTGTGGGGCTTTCTTAAATTTCTTGCACTACCTAGGCCAGGGCTTCCTGTTAGATTTGGAGGGAGCCATCCATAAGGATGGAGAACTGACATGACTCTTCACCTGGATGCCCTCCTTGTAGAGCTTACCTGTTCCTGGTTCACCGGCCAGCCTCTGAGCAAGGCTCAGCCAGCCGGTTCCAGGCCACCGGGGTTTCCATTCTCCCCATGCTCTCTTCCATGTTTAACCACCAGAGGGAAGCCTTGCGCAAAGATAAATAAATGGTGGAGCGGTTAGGTGCAACTTTCTTGGATCGGGGTGGAGCCTGCTGTGCTGGGAGGATGGGAGAAGGGCAGCTGTGCTAGCCGCTAGCCGTTGAATTATAATGAGAGGGGAGATGTCATCCTTCTCTGGCTTCTTATAAGGAGATGTTGAGCAAGGGGAATGTAGTAGACAGGGCGCTTGAAGTCAGGTCTGGACTGAGGCAGGCAATTCATTTCCTCATTTGGCAAGGATTTTATTGAATACTCCCTGCCACATGCCAGGCACTGTGTTACATGCTGGTGATAAGACAATGAGATGAACTCCTCATGAAGTTTAGAGTTCAGTGTGGAAGACACGTGTTAAACAATCACAGAAATAACCACACTACTCGACTCATGATAAATGCTATAGGACGAATATGCAGAATGCCATGAGAGCTTACAGGAGGGGACCCAGTCTAAGGGTCCAGAACACCCCGAAGAATCGACGTCTAAGCTGAAACCCAAAGAAGGAGTAGGAGTCAGCCAGGACCTCGGTTGCCAAGGCTACCATTCAAGGTCCCAGGTGGTTTCTGAGTCTGGACAGACAGGTGTGTCCTGCTTGCATGGGAAGGCACCCACTCATCTGCCTCCCCTGCTTCTGTCTGGCACCTCTCTGTGCAATTTGGATCTTCAGGATGGTCTTGAAAGCAGACAAGTCAGGGATTAATCACATTCCCCAAAAGAAGAACTCGAGAACTCGAGAAGATTAAGCACTTCCCAGCTCTAACACGGCTGCCCGGCTGACGGAGGCTTGGAGCAAGACTCAGCACACAGACTGCAAACTGGGAGCGGGAAGTCTTGAAGGTGGTGAGAGGTGCCCTCGTGTGGTTGCTGTGGTGCCCACCCTCTCTCCTAGAGAGCCAAGGATCCCAGGACCCCTGGCCCAGGGGAGACTGGGAGTGCAGGGAGCCAATATCTCCTTGTCTTTTAGAACAGTAGAATTACAGAACAGTAAAGTTCTGGCCTGTTCTCTTCCTTTTCCTGTCTTCCAAAGAGCTTGTTACAGCAGGAGCTGGCTCGCTCTCTCTCTCTCTCTCTCTCTCTCTCTCTCTTCCACTAGTTCTAGTCTCTTCCATAGCCTGCTTTATTAGATTACAACAAGGCCTAGGCACCTAACAGCTGAAAGCTTCAATATCCCTGAGAGCAAAAAGCCCTGCCTTGAAATAATCCAGTGAAAAGAAACAGAAAGGGAATTCTCCAGAACTGAGGCTCCTGGGTGCCAGAAGCCACATCACATCCCCACACCTTGGGGTTAATCTGTGCTGAGTACAGAAAGTCATCCGACCCCTGCTCTACTAGGGGGGAAGGGAACTAGCAATTCCTGGACTCTTGGAATATGCTTGACCTTGCAATAGAAACTTGTATTCAAATCAACTCATTTAACCCCAACAATAGCCTTAGACAGTAGGGATGTTTATCTCCATACTGCAGGTGAGAAACAGACTTATGAAAGGGAAGAGGCCCAAATTCACCCAGCTGGTAAGTGACAGAGCCAAAATTCAAACCCAGGGTGGTCAGAGCCCGGTCCGAAGTCCGTTCTTACACTGCGCTTCGAGGCAGGCACTTCTTTCCAGGCCAATCAAAGGAGGAAAGCGCCTGACAGTTTTCTGCCCAAGGCCCTGGCTGCTTCACTGAGTAGGATTTCCCCAAGGGCCAGCTGCCTGTGCAGCTGTCTCCTAGCTAATTCCCCACTCTTGGCTAGGGAAGCCCGAGGAATAGAAAGAATGCCTCCCTGAAGAAATTCTAAAGACAGCATCTGTCCCTTGTCCTCTCCTGTGATCCAGAGAGGGAGGTGGGGAGAGAAATCAAGCTAGCTCGGCTCCCAGCAGCTATCACATCTTGACATGAAGGAGGCGGGGCTCTGACTTCTCAGGGACCTAAAGGAGTCAAGGTTGGGGACCTGGCCCGAGCAGCAGAGAGCACCTCTTTATCCAGAGTGAGGTCCTCTGTCCTGTAGAATGGTAAAGATGTGAGTCAGCCCTGAGAAAAAAAGGGGTGAGCACAGAGAAAGAGACCACGGGGTCCAGTCAGACACTGCGGGTGCCCTACTGCTGACACCCCGGCTCTCCCAGCCTCACTCTTCGAGGTCCTCCTGTACTCCAGCTTGGCAAGTTTGGTGACTTTTGCAGCCTTGGAAGGGCACTTGCTCCAGGGTGGCTCCCTGGTGGCTGTCCACCTCCTGGCAGGTTGCCCTGAGCTGTTCTGTGAGTGTCAGGGGAGGAAACGGCCAGCCTGAGTTGGCAGCGACTGCCCTCCACCTGCCTGTCCCCGTCTCCACAGCAATGCCCGGGCCCAGGGCTGGAGGAGGCTGCTGGGGGAAGGTGGGAGGCGCTGAAGAGGGGCTGGAGCTAAGTCCCTGCGGGAGCCAAGGGTGCTTGCTCACCCGGTCTTGCCTAGACTTCCTTCCAGTTCCTTTCCTCTTTAGGCTCCTCCTTGAGTAAAAACCTGTTAGGCTTCTGCTGTAAGGTGCACTTCACTCACCTCTTTTTCACACGGGATAGACTTTATAGTCCTCGCAACTGTGAGGAAGGTATTATTATCCCTACTTTACAGACAGAACACGGAGGCTAAGTGCTTCGTTCAAGAGAAAGACAACTTAACATACAGAAAAACAAACTGGAAGAGGGGAGGGAGAGCCATCATTTCGGGGGGGAATTCCTGCAGGAGAAATCAGAAACCCCATCCCCCTGCTGAGGGAGCGATGGATTAGCTCCCTCACCCTCCAGAGCCCCAGCCAAGAACTCTTTGCAAAGCAAGGCATGAGGACCATCTCTCAGGCTGGACGGAGAAAGCGACTCCTCAGGCCTGCATCCTGACACAGCACATGAGACAATGAGGTGATGGTGGCTTCTGTGGGTCTCTGCTCAGGAACACCCCAGGACTCAAGGACACACTGCCTCCATCCCAGCAGGCACGTGCAGCCCGGCACCCACATGCCCATGTCTGCATCCTTCTTGCTTCAGCTAGAAGGAGGGAGGCAGACAGACAGGAGGTGGACTCAGCTCGGCCCTCCCTCCACTGTCTGGATGCCTCTCAGCTGTCTCCCTCCTCCTTGCGTGCCCCTCCCCTCACCCTCACTCTAAACACCAGCTCAATTTTGCCTCTCCTTTCAAGGTCATCTCTCTGTCTCTGTGGCTGGGCTGACTTCACATCCCCAGTAACTGCCACCTCACCGTCTCACATGCCTCCCTCCTGTGGTTCCGCCAGCTTGACAGAGGGTCTCCATCTGGAGGGAGGATGTGGCTTTTCCCCCACTGCTTCTGTGTCTCCCTTCTCCTGCAGGGGTGAAAAAGCAGCCGAGGGACTATCTCCTTTCTGTGTCACTGCAATGAATTTCCCAAATTCAGGCCTCCTTCATGTCTTTAGACCAGCCTCTCCACCCCTCCCAGGCATGGCCAGACCTACGACCCTGGACACACATGTGCACACCCCCCTGAATGTGCACACAGAACATGCTACATCTTCTCTCCCTTCTCCCCTCCCTCTGCAATCCCTTTGTCTCCTTTCCCTATGTCTCCGTCTGTGCCTCAGGCACTAGAGCAGACAGTTGTTAGCCTTACCCTGGCACCACTGGTCCTAGCCTGTCTTCCAGGATCCTGGTCTCTGGTGTGTGTCTAACACACGGTTCACACACAGGAAGAAGTCCAAGGGTTTCATGCTGTGGCCACCCGCAAAGGCACTGTGGTGTAAGAGAGAAAGCACTGAGTGAGTGTCCAGAGTCCTGACTCACTGTGTGAAATGTGGCAAGTCATATCAATACTTTGTTTTGTCCGCCTTCCCCTTGGAGCTCCCACAGCCTAATTCTGTTGCTAAAAGCATATCCAAGACCGAAGGGCGTGGTCCATGCCCATCCCCGTCCCGTTTCTAATCTAAGAACAAAGACAGATCCTCTGCACTGTTCCCTGGAGCACAGACCAATGTGGACAAAGAGCTACCCAGTGGTGAAGGGGGACAAATGGAGGCAAGGATGGAGAGTACAGATGCATAGTTTCCCAACTCAAGTTTCTGATTCCAAATAAACTGCACCTAAAGCTGGCTAAGCTGCAGGCTTTCCTGAGCCCCCTCTAGTTCCTGCAGAAGAGGGACCAATCCAAGATGTCCTCCCACGTGGGCCCAGGAACCTGTGACAGGGACAGCCATCCTAGCCCATCTTGACAGGAAAGGCAACAACTCTCGTATCACACATTACCCGTGATCATACCCGACTGGAAGTGCAGTCTCAGGAGAGGTGCTGCCTCCCTGAGAAGGGCCCCTCCATGCCAGGATCAGGCTCCGAGAGCCCAGCCACGAAGGCAGCAGCACCTCTCTGGAGGCACTAAGAAATCCCCATGGAGCCATGTCCTGGGGGACAGGCAGGATGGCAGGTGAGCCTCTGCCTTTCAGGGGAATGCTGAGGGAAACGGGGTGGGCAGAGGAGAGGTGGGACCACTGACAGTGCCTGAGGTCCTGGACTCTGTGTAATCCTGGAAAACACCAGGCCAGATAGATGCAAACAGACCCCATGTTGGGAATGGTCTGCAAAGTAGGAAGGTGTTGAGCAGTTACAGAGATGTTTCAAGGTAAAGCACCGTGCATTGGAGGGAGAAGAAAAATGTAGTTTTTAGAGATTCGAGTTTTTCAGATCATCTGTATACTTGGGTTAAAATCAGCTTACCAATGTAGATGCTTTCCCTTGGAACAAGTCAGTCTGAAAATAGGGTCCTTTTTAATGTCAGCAGATCAGGACATCATCTCTGCAGAGATTATGGGAGGTAGAGAAAGATCGGAAGGGGGCAGAAATTCAATACTCCAAAGGCCCCAAGATTCTTCAGGGTCCTCGGGTTTAAGCTAACCCCATGTCCAGGCAGGCCTTTAGCTGGTGAAGGAAGTGATCTCCCTGGCTTTTAGTAAGAGTCAGAGGTCCAGGCTGCAGAAAGCTATGAAGCCACCATTTGTAGGACACTATGCCAGACCTTGTGCTAGCCCTTTGCATTGCGCGCATTATTACATTTAATTCCTATAGTAGCTCATTGAGATGAGCACTGCCCCAGTTTTGTAAAACTCAGGTTAAGTTCTTTGTCCGACGTCATGCAGCAAGTAAGAAACAGAATGAAAATTCAGACTTGGGCTGGCTGCAAAGCCCTCCACCCTTTTGGATCGGTGCCGAGAGTCTGGCGCAATGGATGAATCATGTATCACTTCCCACTTCCTATAGGAGCCTTGCACATAGAATCACCCCATAAACACCACTCTGGGCAGCTCCATGCATGGTGGGGAGTCCGGCCGCTACAGGAATCTCACCAAAGTGGCCCCTTTTTTTGCTCCTTCCCTCTCCTAACATCCCCAAACGGTGGTTCCACACACCTGGATTTCTTCTCCCAGCCTTTCCCCCCTAGATCTCCCTTCCCACACACTTCCTCCCCTTCCTGTCTATTGTCTCTAAGCCCAACTTCTTGGCTCCCAAGCTCCTATTCACCAATTTCTTTCCGCTTTTTTCACCTGGGGTACAATAGGCTCCCTCCCCCTTGTTGGTAAACAGAATCCCAACAAGGGGTGTTCCAGGCCAGTTTTGAGATTCCCCAGGGAGCTCCTGGTGCTGTAGTTTCTTGCTAATGGGACAGAACTCCTGGAAAAGTGGCCTGGCCTAACCCTGCCTCTCTGTCCCCCCTATTCTTGCACACTGCAGCTCGGGGCAAGGGCACTGTGCCAGCATACTGCCTCTGTCCTTGGAACCCAGTAGCTGCTCACTCATCTCCTGCCTGGAACACTGGAAGAGGACTGGGAAAGGAAAAGCGTGTGTGTGCGTGCGCGCGTGCACACAGAAAACAAATAACAGATAAACAATATAATTCAGACAGATGCTAGAACACAACAAAACGAAGGCAAGGTAGCCCAGACTGGTGGTGGAGGCCCAGCAACATTAGAAAAGGTAGTCAAAGAAGGCTTCTCAGAGGTGGTGACGGTGCGCTGCGATGACAAGAAGGCAACAGCCGTGCAAAGTGTGAGGAGAACCCTTTCCAGGTAGAGGGAAGAAGAGGAGCAATGATCCCTGAGCGGAAATGAGCGTGGCAAGTTTGAGGAGCAGAGGGGAGGCCGTGAGAACAGCCAAAGCAGGTGCGAGGTGGGGTCAGAGGCGCAGGGCCTCAGCATGAGATCCTGTAGGTTTTTATTGTAAGTGCGTTGGATCCTTCTCCAAGGAAACACCCTTACCCCAGGCTCCCTGGTAGAGATGCTGAAAACTCGAGGAAGGAAGAGAGGGAAGGGTGAGTCACAAACGAGGGTGACAGTGACCAGAGCCAGTGTAACCTCTAAGGAGGAAGGGTCTGCTGCTTGGTTACCAGGCGTGGGTGGGGCAATATGTGGAAATGGGGAACTGGAGTGGAGGAAGAAGAGAGGCCAGGAACTGGGGGAGGAAATAAGGGGCTGAGAGCAGGAAATTCTATAGGGCTGGAGCTTAAAGACGGAGGGGGACATGAGCAGCTGCTGGGAGCTGTGGCACTTGGAGGCAGACAGTATTTTAAGGAAGTTTGATTGTGTTTCATGTGCTGTAATTTCCCCTTGGTGATCCCCTGAAGAAGACTTTGCATTGAGAACTTCTCTATGTCTCAAAGCTTTTGAAGCCAGATGTTGGTTCCCTTTGGACATGTCTCTAGCTTGAGAGGCCTCAGGAGAAGCAGAGGCCCCTGTGCTGAGTACGCTGCTGAGATTGGAATACAGGTGAAAAAGGTCCCTGCTTGGATACTCACCTGCTGTGTGGCCTCAGGGAAGTTACTTGTCTTCTCTGTTCCCCTCCTCTGGCCATGCAAAGATTGGATTAGATGATCTCCAAGGTGCAAACAGCCTGAGACTCCAAGATGCCACATGTCCTTTTCTTAACAGAGATGTGTTAGAGACCAGCTACTGATCCTCAGAGCAAGCCAGCACCCACCCATTCCCAGGACGGGGGGTGCAGGCCACTCTGCTTCCCTTAGTGCCAAGGGAGGAAAGTTACAGGGCCATGCCCACTCACTTCCGACACCCGCGCACTGCTCAGGCCCAGCCACCTCCAAGGAACTGCCTCTCCCATTGGGACAGGATTCCCAGAAGCTTCCAGAAACTGCTATCTTTTGATGCCAGGACTGGGTTGACTGCAGCCCCCAACAAAGTAGAAGAAAGGACCCAGTGACCACGTCAACATCTCCCCAAGGAAGGAGTCTGTGATCTCAGTGGGTGAAATATCCCCCTGGAGAGTAGAAGAGCCCCTCCCCTTCCAGAGAGAGCCTGGGGTGACCTGTGACGTGGAGAGACAAAAGTTCAGGCCTTTCTCACCCTGCTGCTTCAGGGCCAAGCAGAAATATCTCCTTCCGGGCTCTCTCCCTCAAGCTGGGCTGCCGGAGCACAGGATGGCTGCTTTAAAGGCTGCCTGCTTTCTCACACACAGTGAAATGCTTCCCCACAGAACCTGCTGAGCCTTCCACCACATTAGTAATCTGCTCACAGAGCAAGAGCTTTCTCCTCCTCTCCTCCCCCGCCTCCTGTCTCTTTCCTCCCTTCTCTCTCGCTTCTCTTCACCACCACCCCACCCCCACTTACCTCCTCTTCTGCCTCCACCCCATCCATCAGAGCCACTGCCACCTCCTGGGAAGCTGAGAGGGTTTATCACCAAATCAGGCTTTGTCATAAGGAAAACAGGTTTATTTTCCTCACTTTGAGAAGGCGCTGACAGGAGCAGCTAGGGAAAGGGTGTTTTGTATATTCAAAGCGCCCACCTGCCCTTCCCCTGTGGCTGAATCTAGCATTGATTTTCTCATTGTCCTCAACCACTGCTCCTCTGACCTGCCTCAGTCCCTCATCCTCTTAACCCTCACCTGGAAGCTTTTGCACACTGGACCCACTGAGTCTAAATCATTCCTTCATTCAGTTCATTTCACTCATTCAGTAATTTGGAGTCATTTCTTGTATGTGTCAGGGACCCCAGGTGCAAGGGGGGGAAAGGGGCACAGATACATGAATAAACCACTAAAATACAAAGCAGTAACCGTGGTGACAGAGATGGCACAGAGCATCAAGTCTTCTCTGTTGAGGCAGCCATTCAAAGCAGGCAGAAATCAAGGAAGGCAGCTGCAGGCAGAGGCCATGACTCGGGAGCAGGAGATATCGAGAGGAAGGGGAATTGGAGGGATAAAGGCAGCGAGAGAAAGGGCTCTGGGCCCAGGTGCGCCACCATCAAGTGACCTCTGTGTGATGGTGCTCATGTGTGGGTGAGGCTGGAGGAGGGTGTGAGCAGAGCGAGCAGAAGCAGTGCAAGTTCCCCTGCGGGGTTTCACCTGGGAATCAGAGGGTCAGGTTGGCGTTTTGAAGTTCTGCGGCAGGTGGTTTTGAAGGAGACGAGCCTGGATTCTGGAGTAGGACACTGGTTAGGTTGCTGATGCCGTGTGAATGAGAAGGAAGATGTGAGTTCTGAGCGTAAGGGTGGACGGAAGAAGTGGAGGAGGCGTCCAAGGGGCCCAGAGAGGTAAGAGCCTGCAGCAGTTTCCTGACGTGGGGCTCTCCAGCAGAGGGGTAGTTGAATCCAGGAGAAGGCAAAGGTAAGCACACCTGCACGTGGGCAGTGAGAAAACAGAGACGGAGCAGGGAGGGCACAGGCCGGAGGAATGCCACACGGGCAGCAAGCAGAAGGTGAGGGCAGCAATGAGAGGTGCCAGCAACACCAAAGGGCAGGAAGGGGTGGGGAGTAAAGAAGGAACGGGTTGGGTCAGGCCTCACCCGGAGGACAGCATTGCAAAGGGTCCCTGGTGATGGCTCTGCCAGCAGTCTGGGCTCATTGCTGCCTCTCCCCTCATTTCTGGGTGTTCCGGGAGGTGAACCGCTCTTCAATCTGCCACCCCACCATCAGTCACAGTCACCTCCAGATATTGAGCTCCAGTTGGCAGCCCAGCCTTCTAGCGAGCTCCAGCAGATGGAAGAGGCACAGCCCTCAGGCTCAGAGCTCCCAATCTAATGGGGGAGGCTGTGCACAAAATCCCTACTCATTAAAAAAAATAACCAACAAATAATATCAATAAGGAATAATGTGAAATAAATGCATACAGAAGAGATCCCAGGGAGAAGGGGCCGGCTCAGGGAAGGGAGGCGGGGACACCCTCTCTGGCTCTGGAGCACCAGGGCCAACTGGGATGTGACGCCCATAATTCACAGCTGATCAATTTTGGAGGGCCTGGCGCTCTGACCCCTGTGAAAACCGCTCTCTTCTCTGACAGCTGAGCCCTTCTCCTTGGAGACCCAGGGCCAGGAGGTTTCTCTGTGAGATGTACTCTGGTGCCTGCAGCCAGAATGATGGATGAACAGGCAAGAGCTGCTCAGGGCCATTGAGGCCAATGGGGCTGAGCAGGGAGAGAAATATGATGGCAAAGCAGCTCAGAAACATGAGAGATGCTCAGGGGCTAGATGGAGGCAGCAGGGACCTGGGTCCCTCTCTCAGCCATGTCCATTCACCTGTCTGCCTCTCCAACCAGATCCTAAGTTCTATGACACAAATGACTCAGAAGTTGGGGACAGCTGAGAGTCTGGTATAGGGAAGTGGAAGGTCAAGTGTTGAAAGGATCGTCTCTTCCTTCTCTTCAGGGCCATGAATATAGGAAGCTCTTGGGGTGCACTGAAGAGTGGCTCGCCCAGCAGCCAAGGCCCGCGCCCTGCCCCAGCGCCCCAGAAGCAAACCCAGCCCTGGATTCTTCTGGCACAGGTTCAGACTCCCATTCAATCTCACTCCTTCAGGCACAGGAGACACTGGGGCCAGCAGCTAGCAGAGAAAAAACACACATTTCTGGGATCCATCCAATCAGAACTCCATCCCAGGGACCAAGGTAGGATGGAGCTGCAGACAGCCTCTCTGGGAGCTGTACATGTCATTTGAGCTGCCGGGCAGGCTGGGCGGTCCATGGGTGAGATGAGTTGAGCTTCAGCCTGCTTTTCCTCCAGCCCCTGCATTCCATTTGTCCAGGCTTCTGGGTTGCACTGTATCCCTTCCATGTACACACAGGACAACAGGGAGGCTGGCAGGTTACCCCTGTCTTCCCACCCCATCAGCTGCTGGGTGAGGGAGGATCAAAGAAACAGACAGTCATGGGGGCCCCCCTTACAAGCAGCTAATGTGATAAGATGCTGGGCGCTGGGGGATGGGGTTCTGGGGCTGGAGCAGCTGGCATGACTAGCTTTGCCTGCCTAATAGACAAAAAATGACTGCATTATTGGTGAGTAATGGAACTGTCTCTGTTTTCTGGAGATGAGCATGGGCAGTAGAGATTACAGAAGCATCTCAGAGCTGAGCATTCCATGCCAGGTATGAAAGTGATATTGAGTCATCCAATGTGTAGCCCGTCCTGAGGAACTTACCCTGGAGGCCATAGTTGTAGGCGGTAATGCTAACAGTGGGAGACACAGGAGCTCAAGAGGGGAGGTGCCTTGGGCTGAGGTCAGCTGGAAGACTGCGTGGAGGAGGCAGCACATACTTGGCACTGCCCCTCCTCACTCACTTACACAGCAGCCCGTGGAGGGCAGTGCTCACAGAAACAGCTGCTTAGGACAAGCTTCTGCATGGAAGGGACAAGACTTGCACAGTCAGGGCACAACACATATTTGTAGAAAGAACGACAGTCTGGTGACAGCGAGAGTATGTTCTGAAGGCAAGAAACAAGAAGTGCCCTCTCTTGGGTGGGCTTGCCTCGGCTGCTCTCTCTTTCTTCCACTCCTTTCTTCAGAGGCACTGTCTTCTCCCTGACTCCTTTCCGTCTCTACCTGGCACCCCTCCTGATTTCCAGGTAGGCCCCTGTTCAAATCCAGGGCATCCCCTGAGTTCCGGAGGAGAAGAACAGAGACCATGCCCTGCAGCTCTCACACCTGGGACCTCACTATCTGCTTTTCCAGCCCCCCTCCTTCTGAGGGTCCTGGAGCATCAAGGCAAAATGGGTTTCTCAGAAAGCCCCATAGGCACCCAGCACTGCCTAGCCTCTGCTCACCCCTCCACGCCCCTCTAACTCCCCACGGGGCCCAGCCAGCAGTTCTGGTGACCAAGGTGTAGGGCTGCCCTGGGGCCTGTGCGAGACTGCAGGACAGTTCCTGGAGCATGGGTCCCAGACCTTCCTCTCCTGAAACGTTACCTTCCCAGGAGATGTTCACCCTCTCTCTGGGGCCACAGCAACAGACAGGAACAGCAGGTGTGTGTGTGTGTGTGTGTGTGTGTGTGTGTGTGTGTGTGTTGGGGGGGGTACAATGAACAAAGGCTCTTTGTGTTGGAATCCCAATTGGGGAGGGCAGGACTGAGAGCAGCCTGCTTCTCCATACATTTCTGAGTTTCATGGAAGAAGCTCACTGTGGTCGTTGGTACATCTGGACCCAGATCACCGCGCTGGCTCCTTTCATTTCTGTGGTATCTGTTTGCTATGACTCATTCACCACGTCTCGGGGTGCATTAGGACTCACTGGGGCTATGTGGATTCGAATACATCACTTTTTAGGAGTGGGGAGTGGGAACTGGGGCCTGAGGCCTCAGGTGACACAAATGAGGCCAAGCCGACAGCAGCCCCAGCCTGCATCAAGTCTCCCAGGTACTGCCTGACTCTCAGGACTATCATGTCTCTGTCGCAAGGCTAGAAGGACACAAATTAGCGACAGAGAGGAAAAGGGAATGGGGAACTAGGACCAATGAACACCCGCCGTGTGCCAGATGCTGGGATAGGCAGTGTATACCCGCTATCTCATGAGAGCTATGCTTTCCCCCGGGTGCTACCTCCACTTTACAGAGAAGAAAAATCTAAGGCTCAGAAGGGTGATGTGCTTTGCTGCATGGCACACAGCTGATCAGTGGGATTCCAGCCCAAGCTGTGTCCTCCTTGGGAGGAACGCGTCCTCACCAAGAGCAAGGCTGGAAGGCTGGGTGGCTGGGTGGCTGGGCAGCTGCCTCTGGGGATTCCAAAAGGGCAGTGATAGAGGTCAGTGGGCAAAAGCAGGGTGAAGCTTGGGGGGCTGGTCAAGCTGCCTGCGCTGGTTGGGCCAGAACTCCAGATGCCATGAGCAGCTCACAGGGTGGGAGCTGGGAGCTGGGACAACCCACGTTAGACGCCCTGGTGGGGAACTGGGCCCAGGTTACCTGCATAGTTCTCTGAAAGTTCGGGGAGAGGGATGGGGTGAGTAGCTTAGAAAGAGGTGCAAACCAATTTAGATAAAAATTAAGCTGGCTCCAATGCCAAAAGAGACGTGGTCTTGGGGTCTGACGCCACTCCCACTCGAGCAGGAGCTCAGGAATAACAGCATTGCCTGCCATCGCACCAGACCCAGGTGACTCGAAGAAGACAGAGAGGAGAGCCTGGGAGCACTCCCATTATGAGGAGAAAAGAGACACCCCACCCCCACACCCCCACCTTCCCAGGGCACAGGGGTGCCTAGAGGCACTTATGCCTGCATT